ACGGTTGCCGAAGAGCATCCGAAATATATTGACAACTAACCAATTAAAATTTCGAAGAACTAAAAAAAAAAATAAAAAACATCAATATTATAATTTTAATACCCTTGCAGAGGGTATTATAATTTCAGTCAGAAGTTTGCAACGCAGTGGAGGAGAAATTTATAATAATATTAAACAAGAAAGAAAGCAAATTTCGGCAAGCCGAAGTTCATATACCCTTGCAGCTATTGCATGAATTAAATACTTTTGAAAACATTTAAATTATGATTTACTTGAGTATATGCTGAAAAACATTGAAACTATGATGATTTGCAGCTCAATTATTAGATAGTTATTTTATATATTTTTATTATTTCTATGGGAGCTATATGCTATAGACGTCCGATTTTGATAAAATTTAAACCATAATTCTGAAATAATTAAACATTGCTATATGTCGAAGAACTAAACAAAAAATTAAAAAATATAAAAGTTATAATTTTTTTTCATTTATTTTTCCGATTGTTCCTATGGGAGCTATATGCTATAGTCGACCGATTTTGATGAAATTTAAACCGTAAATCGGAAATATTTAACCATTACTATATGTCGAAGAACTAAACAAAAAATTAAAAAACAGCAAAGTTATAATTTTTTTTCATTTATTTTTCCGATTGTTCCTATGGGAGCTATATGCTATAGTCGTCCGATTCGGCTCGTTCCGACTTATATACTACCTGCAATAGAAAGACAACTTTTGGGAAAGTTTCATGCAGATAGCTTCAAAACTGAGAGACTAGTTTGCATATAAACGGACGGACAGACGGACAGACGGACGGACAGACGGACGGACAGACGGACATGGCTAGATCGACTCAACTAGTGATGCTGATCAAGAATATATATACTTTATAGGGTCGGAAACGTCTCCTTCACTGCGTTGCAAACTTCTGACTGAAATTATAATACCCTCTGCAAGGGTATAACAAGAAAGAAAGCAAACTTCGGCAAGCCGAAGTTCATATACCCTTGCAGCTATCGCAAGAATTAAATATTTTTGAAAACATTAAAATTATGATTTACTTGCGAATATGTTTAAAAACATTGAAGCTATGACGATTTGCAGCTTAATTATTTGATTGTTCTTTTATATATTTTTATTATTTGTATGGGAGCTATATGATATAGTCGTCCGATTTTGATGAAATTTAAACCATAATTCTGAAATATTTAACCATTGCTGTATGTCGAAGAACTAAAAAAAAATTAAAAAACAGCAAAGTTATAATTTTTTTTCAATTATTTTTCCGATTGTTCCTATGGGAGCTATATGCTATAGTCGTCCGATTTTGATGAAATTTTAACCATAATTCTGAAATATTTAACCATTGCAGTATGTCGAAGAACTAAACAAAAAATTAAAAAACAGCAAAGTTACAATTTTTTTTCAATTATTTTTCCGATTGTTCCTATGGGAGCTATATGCTATAGTCGTCCGATTTTGATGAAATTTTAACCATAATTCTGAAATATTTAACTATTGCTTTATGTCGAAGAACAAAACAAAAAATTAAAAAACAGCAAAGTTATAATTTTTTTTCAATTATTTTTCCGATTGTTCCTATGGGAGCTATATGCTATAGTCGTCCGATCCGGCTCGTTCCGACTTATATACTACCTGCAATAGAAAGACAACTTTTGGGAAAGTTTCATGCAGATAGCTTTAAAACTGAGAGACTAGTTTGCATATAAACGGACGGACAGACGGACAGACTGACAGACGGACAGACGGACGGACAGACGGACATGGCTAGATCGACTCTACTAGTGATGCTGATCAAGAATATATATACTTTATAGGGTCGGAAACGTCTCCTTCACTGCGTTGCAAACTTCTGACTGAAATTATAATACCCTCTGCAAGGGTATAAAAACAAGAGAAGGAAAAGCATGGAAAACATAGAAATTAAGGAAGCAACAGTTCATTCCCTTACAGAGGATCAGGTCAAATAGATTCTTGAAATCTTTGCGCTCTTTGAAACCCAGACTCCTTGAAGGATAAGCCAATTTAAAGTTTTGAAATGATGTTCGAGCTGGGAATATTTCGTACCGAAGCTGAGATCAGTCACTTGTTCGAGGATTTTGAGTTGGAATGCAATAAGGAGGTCACGGTGGTGCAGTTTCTAGATGTTATGTTATGACCAAAGTCTACCAGCAGACGTACAAGGATTCCCTGCTAAAAATGTGTTTATAAATGCCAACAACCTGCTCCACGTGGCTTTGTCAATGGGTATAAAGTTTACCGATCTGGAGTTCGAAGAAATGTTCAAAGAGATTGATTTTGACGCCAACGATAAAATAGGGTGGGCCGATTTTCTCCGAGCTATCTATTCTTGATCAGCATCACTAGGATCTAGCCATGTCCGTCTGTCCGTCCGTCTGTCCGTTGCTACGCAAACTAGTCTCTCAGTTTTAAAGCTATCTGCATGAAACTTTCCCAAAAGTTGTTTTTATTACAGGCAGAACGACTGTATCATAAAGCTCCCAAGGGAACAAATTGAAAAAAAAATTGAATTACGCTTTTAATTTAATTAATTCGGCTTGCCGAAGTTTTCTTCTATTCCTGTTTTTGCTAAATTTACGCGAAAACATTATTCTTGATCAGCATCACTTGCCTTAATCAACATCTAGCCCTAACCGTCCCGCCGACCGATTCTACGCAATCTTGTCTCTCAGTTATCGTTATCAAAACTCTTCTGTCTATTGCAGGTTGTATATATGTCGGAACGGGCCGTACGAGCGACTTTATTATTTGGCTCCCATAGAAATTATCGGGAAAATAATTTAACGTAAATAAAATAAAAAATAAATTTATTTAATTTAATGTTTTTGCTATTAATTTTATAAAAAAAGGGCGATGTTATAATAAATTTAGTGTAAAAGTTCTTTGATTCAACCACAATATTTTTTTTGGGTATCGTTCAATTTGTCAAATATTTGCTTTCTACTTGTAGGCCATTTCGCCGGACACCCACGTATATGAAAAAGTCTTATTGATGCCAGTCTACGACAAATTCATGTTAATCAAATGTCGAGAGGTCAGTCGGTCTATCGTTTGTCAGCCATATTTTCCAAGCACCCTGTTTGGATAATTTAAATAGATTATCGTCAACCTACAGTTAATTGTATTCACTGCGGGTGGGTTTCGGCATTGAATCAATGGGTGTCAAATCGATACAGCAATCAATAGCGCTCGTTTAGATACTCCTCATACAAGTAAATATATTGTGTTGTGCAAACACTTTGATAAAAATGGCGGTCATCGGTGCAATTAAAGTCATTGATTAGTGCCCTCCATTTCGAGAGTTGACACAAATTGTCTGAAATAGAGCGGCATTAATATTTCTAAGTACAAGAAAATGTAATTACATTTTATTTAAAATACTGATTCTTTCATGATAATGTTATAATTGACTTATAAATTTTTGAATTACATGGCTGTTTGTATTCTTAAGCAGTTTTGCCTCCCCCACAGTTTAGATTGCCGACCCAAAGTTTTTTTTTTGTTTATTTTAGCACCGGTTTCATTCCCACGAACTGGTAGAAATTGTAAGAAATTGTAAGCCTTTATAAATAGAAAAGCTGTGATCGAATTAAATTAAAATTTCATTCCAAAATGTTATACCTCAAAAAGTGTAATAAGCAATTTAAAAGGAAAAGAAGCAAACTTCGGCAAGCAGAAGTTTATATACCCTTGCAGATATTATAAATATTAAATATTCTTTACAACATCTAAATACTATTGTCGAAGAATAAAAAAAAATAAAAGAAAAAAAACATAATTTTTTTTCATTCTTTCCGATTGTTCCTAGGGGAGCTACATTCGCGGAAAAAATAATAAAAAACGCGCTAAATCGTTGTTTTTTCTATTGTCTCTCACTAGAAAAATCCAATAAAAATTTGTTGTTATTTGTTGTTAACATATTTCAGGATATCTTTTATATTAAATAGGAAAAATATTTTATTACATTTTTTTATTAAGAGAAAAAGAAAAAGAGAATTTTTTGTTGCCAATTTCACCTGCTGTGAATACTGATAAGTGGTCACCACTTGTTTTCGACCAAGTTAATAGGGCCGTGCTTGGAGGTTAATACAATTGGACAGAAATCTGATCCCACATCAGGATAATATTTTGTTTTATCTTTTTTTGCATAAATTTTCACTGAAAGGGAGAAATTATCTTGACTTTTATTGTAATTAAATGAAAAACTACTCGAAAATTGGTAGCTTATAAGTATTTTTATTGTTTAAGCTTTGGTGAACGTTTCTGGTCAGTGTTCTCTGCTCAACACTTGCAAAGAAATCCTTGGTTCGATTCTCAACGGCGGCCACATTTCAAATATGTTTTTTTCAGATAACTAAAAGAATTTACCAATTATCAGAAATTACTAAATTGAATTAAAGTAATATATAAGTAAAAAATGTTTCTAATTTCTGTAAGTCAAAAATTAATAGTATTTGTAAACTTGCTGACTTTGAAAGCTCGCAGCTGGTAAACCAATGAACGTTTAAATATACTATAAATTCTAAAGATCCAGGGATGCATTACCTATCGATTTATTTCTAAATATTGGTCCAGTTTAATATTATTAACACGCGCCATGTTGGCCATTTAGGCCACTGTGCCAATCCACTGATTGTACACATACTTATCCATAACCTTCCCCGATGGGCAATTCAAATGGCGCTTTTAACAAACAACGACACATACATACAAGGTAAGGGTAGATCCAATTCGGATCTTCCTTCAAGAGTTACGGTCCCAAGGACATTCGAATCAATCAACTTTGAAGGTGCGGCACTGCACTTACATAACGAACATATTGATTTTGTGCCAATCGGTTTTCTGCTCTCTGCAGTAAAATGAAGCCACTGGGGTATGTATACTTTTCCTTTTTTTTATTTCCGCAGCTTTTCTTTTGTGTTAGAAATCGATTTCAATACTAGGAGCCGAGTAAACTTTTAAGGGGAAACAGCTTAGTTGACACTTCGAAACAGAGAAATAAACACATCTTCATTAAACAACTCAACTGAAAAAAGATACACAAGATGGAGGATCTGTCGTCTGAGGAGCAGATGCTGATTAGAGAAACATTTCGAATACTAGACAAGGAGAACGAGGGCGCCATAACCTCCAAAGAGATGGCGGTAGTGATCCGCGCCCTCGGCCGCCAGCCAAACGAATCTGAAGTCCAGTCCATGATCAACGAGGTGGACTCGGAGGGAAATGGGTCCATCGAGGCTCCGGAGTTCTTCAACTTAATCCTGCGCAAGATGCGCGATACGAGCCAAGAGGAAGAACTACGCGAGGCGTTCCGCGTTTTTGACAAGCAGAACAACGGCTATATTAGCATCACCGACCTTAAGGCTGTGTTCACGTCGCTGGGCGTTAATATTGGCGACGAAGAGCTGGAGGACATTATACGCGAGTACGATCAGGATGCGGACAATCATTTAAATTACGAGGAGTTTGTAAACATGATGAGCATACGTTAGCCACCATTATGTATAGTTCTGTTAGGGTGAGTGGATTTTAATGAGACTGAAAATATGAAATGGGCAAACAAATTTTGATAAATTTAACTTGACGGTCACTGCAACGTTTTGTGTAATTATATGGAAAACTACACATAGATATAAATCTATAAATTTCTGAAGATAGTGACCAAAGACTGATTAAGCCAATCTTATTTATAAAGTTATCCTTAGTTCCCACTAGCTGTTAACTAGCTTTGGCCTATCTGTCATTACAAACTGTCGGTTTATTATTGATGGAGCTGACACCCAAACAACAAGAAAAAACAAAACATCGTTCCAATTCAGAAAGAAACCCAACAATAAATAATTTTGGACAGCATGAGCAGTTTAACCGACGCCCAAATCGAAGAGGTCCGGGAAGCTTTCAATCTATATGACACTGAAAAGACAGGATGGGTATCCATTAAGCAGCTAGGAGGAGTAATGCGCGCCCTTGGTGAGATGCTCACCGAAGCGGAAATCTATCAGTTGGCCAACGAATGCAGCTCGGACTTCGGTGGCCAGGTACAATTCAAGGACTTCCTATACGTGATGTCAAAACGACTGGAAGAAGAAAATAGTCTTGTGTCCTTGAAGACGGCTTTTAAGATCTTTGATCGCAACGAAGTAAACTACTTTACGACAGCGGAAATCAGGACAATAATGACCAATCTGGGAGAGAAAATGTCAGACGAGGATCTGAACGAGATGTTCCAAGATATCGACTTGGATAAAGATGGAAAAATCTGCTTTAGCGAATTCGTCACTGCAATGCGAAGTTGAATTAAGAATTCCAAATTGAAAGCGCAACAAACACGAACCTCTTCCAAAAACGTTCTTCCGTGTGATGTTTTCTCTACGCCATTTCCCCATTTAATGTTACCACCCATGTCATTCCAGTCGAGAGCAGCGCCAGAAAGTCGGCAGTGTAGCCTTGTCCCAAGAAGTCGGCTTGTGTGAGTTTACGGACTGGGCGCGTGACTCCGAAATAGGCGAAATAGTCGCATGTGCCTAATGGCTGCCGGGGAGTGCCAGAATGTTCGAAAGGGTGATGGCATTGCTGGTCAGCAATCATAAAACGAGCCAAGCTGAATACGACGCCAATTTAAATATTAGACCAAGCACACCACTCGATGTTAACCAATTCGTCTGGCGGTTTTTAAAGCTCTTGTGGTGTTACCAATCAGACAGCCAAAAGTACTGGGTTCAACTCTTATCGCACTTCAAATTACGCAGTTATCTATTAACACGTCATATACGCATACAACATAAAACATTCGTAATGACTCATTTGGCAACTAAACAATCACGCCTAGCTAATAAAGTATTGTAAGGTGACTAATTTCCACATTAGAGTGGAAAGTTGTTAAATGCTGAGCAACTAGAAATGTGCAGATCTGTAAATCAAAATTACATACATATATTAATTAAACGGTTCCCCTTTACTATTGGCGAAAAACTAAACCAAGATTTTTTATTTAGTGGGTATGTGTGAGGAATTTATAAGTGAATAGCTTTTGAATTTAACTTAAGGTACGGATAATCGATGAAGATGGCTTTTATCTTTTTAACATTGAGTATTTATTTATGTTATCCTGTGTGTGGCTTTTGGTTGATTACTGTTTTGTACCATTTCGTTTTTTATTAAAAGATAGCCTTGAAATAAACTTCCGTGTGACTTAGTTTAAAGAGAGTTCTCATAAGTCAGTACAACTTGAAAACTGAAACTGTGTACAACCATATTCGGAAAACGCGTTCTAAACAGGTCAAACAATCTTAAAATAAATGGATCCACCAGAGTATACTCTGTCCAATGACGATCTCACAGAAATTCGAGAAGCATTCGCCCTTTGCGACCCCCAAAAGACAGGAAGGATCATTCCAGAAGATCTGGGAACTGTGATGCGAGCCTTGGGACAAAACCGCACGGAATCTGAGATCTACAGATATTCCGAGGGACTCGACGGAGATTCCTTAGGTTATATAGCACTTAATGGTTTTATCGAACTGATGACTAGAATCTATAAAATGATGGAGCACAATGACTATTTAGAGGCAGCATTCAATGTCTTCGACCGTGATCAGGATGGGTTTATATCATATAGCGAACTGCGCAACGTGTTCACTAGTCTTGGCGAAAAAATCAGCGACGAAGAGTTCGATGAGGTGTTTCGCCAGGTTGATATCGACGGAGATGGTACCATCAACTGGAAAGATTTCGTTCATGCCTATAAATACTGATCTATGGTTCTATGTTTTTTTTAAAGTATTTGAGTCAGCAGCCTTGACAACTGAAACTCTAACTTATTTTTAATAAACGGAACCAATTCATAAAAAAATCGTAGCTTAAGGGAATTTAAAAGAACGGTGTGTATTTCTTATTAATTGTAGAACTTATTGGGGAGAGACTATTAAAAATGTCATGATGTTTATAAGGACTTAGTTTTTTCATCGTTGACAAAAAATAAATGGGCTTCATAAAAAAAACTCAACTGTTGTATTGCACTAAATCTAGTGTTACAATTAACTCTCCAATACTGTCTGTAAATATAAGAAGGCCTTGAACCGACCGTAATATGAAATTGCCGAATGTCATCAGCAAAAACACCCCCAAGCTAAATCCTTAAACATACACAAAAACCTACAAGCTATAAATAATTCAGTAAATATAACAATTAAAAAACAAGAAAGAAAGCAAACTTCGTCAAGACAAAGTTCATATACCCTTGCCGCTATTGCTAATTCTTGCATTTTTCAAAACATTAAAATTATGATTTACTATGATGATTGCAGCTCAATTATTACATATTTATTTTATATATTTTTATTATTTCTATGGGAGCTATATGATATAGTCATCCGATTTTGATGAAATTTAAACCAAAACTCTGAAATATTTAACCATTACTATATTTCGAAGTTAACAACTCCACGTCACCGGACGCAGACGTGTAAATTAAATGTATGTCAAATGTAAATTGTTTTCTGTTTGTTAAGAATATTAAAATCGTTGTTATTATTTTATAGTTGCCCTGAAGACGGTTGCCGAAGAGCATCCGAAATATATTGACAACTAACCAATTAAAATTTCGAAGAACTAAAAAAAAAAATAAAAAACATCAATATTATAATTTTAATACCCTTGCAGAGGGTATTATAATTTCAGTCAGAAGTTTGCAACGCAGTGAAGGAGAAATTTATAATAACATTAAAAAACAAGAGAAGGAAAAGCATGGAAAACATAGAAATTAAGGAAGCAACAGTTCATTCCCTTACAGAGGATCAGGTCAAATAGATTCTTGAAATCTTTGCGCTCTTTGAAACCCAGACTCCTTGAAGGATAAGCCAATTTAAAGTTTCGAAATGATGTTCGAGCTGGGAATATTTCGTACCGAAGCTGAGATCAGTCGATTGTTCGAGGATTTTGAGTTGGAATGCAATAAGGAGGTCACGGTGGTGCAGTTTCTAGATGTTATGTTATGACCAAAGTCTACCAGCAGACGTACAAGGATTCCCTGAAAGCCGCCTTCGACGTGCTAAAAATGAGTTTATAAAAGCCAACTACCTGCGCCACGTGGCTTTGTCAATGGGTATAAAGTTTACCGATCTGGAGTTCGAAGAAATGTTCAAAGAGATTGATTTTGACGCCAACGGTAAAATAGGGTGGGCCGATTTTCTCCGAGCTATATATTCTTGATCAGCATCACTAGGATCTAGCCATGTCCGTCTGTCCGTCCGTCTGTCCGTTGCTACGCAAACTAGTCTCTCAGTTTTAAAGCTATCTGCATGAAACTTTCCCAAAAGTTGTTTTTATTACAGGCAGAACGACTGTATCATGAAGGTCCCAAGGGAACAAATTGAAAAAAAATTGAATTACGCTTTTAATTTAATTAATTCGGCTTGCCGAAGTTTTCTTCTATTCCTGGTTTCGCTAAATTTACGCGAAAACATTATTCTTGATCAGCATCACTTGCCTTAATCAACATCTAGCCCTGACCGTCCGTCTACGCAATCTTGTCTCTCAGTTTTAAAGTTATCTGGATGTAACATTATCAAAACTCTTCTGTCTATTGCAGGTTGTATATATGTCGGAACGGGCCGTACGAGCGACTTTATTATTTGACTCCCATAGAAATTATCGGGAAAATAATTTAACGTAAATAAAATAAATAATAAATTTATTTAATTTAATGTTTTTGCTATTAATTTTATAAAAAAAGGGCGATGTTATCATAAATTTAGTGTAAAAGTTCTTTGATTCAACCACAATATTTTTTTTGGGTATAGTTCAATTTGTCAAATATTTGCTTTCTACTTGTAGGCCATTTCGCCGGACACCCACGTATATGAAAAAGTCTTATTGATGCCAGTCTACGACAAATTCATGTTAATCAAATGTCGAGAGGTCAGTCGGTCTATCGTTTGTCAGCCATATTTTCCAAGCACCCTATCTGAATAATTTAAATAGATTATCGTCAACCTACAGTTAATTGTATTCACTGCGGGTGGGTTTCGGCATTGAATCAATGGGTGTCAAATCGATACAGCAATCAATAGCGCTCGTTTAGATACTCCTCATACAAGTAAATATATATTGTGTTGTGCAAACACTTTGATAAAAATGGCGGTCATCGGTGCAATAAAAGTCATTGATTAGTGCCATCCATTTCTAGAGTTGACACAAATTGTCTGAAATAGAGCGGCATTAATATTTCTAAGTACACGAAAATGTAATTACATTTTATTTGAAATACTGATTCTTAATAATGATTCTGATAATGTTATAATTGACTTATAAATTTTTTAATTACATAGCTGCTTGTATTCTTAAGCAGTTTTGCCTCCCCCACAGTTTAGATTGCCGACCCAAAGTTTTTTTTGTTTATTTTAGCACCGGTTTCATTCCCACGAACTGGTAGAAATTGTAAGAAATTGTAAGTCTTTATAAATAGAAAAGCTGTGATCGAATTAAATAAGTTTTCATTGACATAAATAGAAGGTCAATCATAATTATTGACTTTAATATTTCATTATATTTTCGGAAAAAATCTCATTCCAAAATGTTATAACTCAAAAAGTGTAATAAGCAATTTAAAAGGAAAAGAAGCAAACTTCGGCAAGCAGAAGTTTATATACCCTTGCAGATATTATAAATATTAAATATTCTTTACATCATCTAAATACTATTGTCGAAGAATAAAAAAAAATAAAAAAAAAAAAACATAATTTTTTTTCATTCTTTCCGATTGTTCCTAGGGGAGCTACATTCGCGGAAAAAATAATAAAAAACGCGCTAAATCGTTGTTTTTTCTATTGTCTCTCACTAGAAAAATCCAATAAAAATTTGTTGTTATTTGTTGTTAACATATTTCAGGATATCTTTTATATTCAATAGGAAAAATATTTTATTACATTTTTTTATTAAGAGAAAAAATAAAATAAGTATTTTCACTTGTAAAAAATAATATAAACTTTATACTTCCGTCTTAAAAACACAGTATTTTTTCCATTGTTTAAACTGTATGAGTGATTTTTTTTATATTTAGTGGTATATTAATCAGTTAAGCCTACAGAGCACTAACGAGGCAAATAAATTTTCAGATTTGAACAAAATTAGTGATTTGGCGCACCAATCTATTTTTTGGAATTTTCCTACAATTCTTTCTTTTATTCAGCTTTCAGAATACAGAATTCTTTTTTAAGGACCCCTTAAAAGTTCTAAATCAAATTTTCGAGCATGTGTTTAACCGGCCACTCTAAAATATAAATTATTTTTAAATTTATTTTTTATTATTTATATATGGTCATTATCCTGCCTAAATTCCTACTTTAAATCCTTGTCTTACTCATGATATGACGGCAATAAGCTCTTCAGTATGTTAAATAAGTCTGGAACCTACATTTGTTCTTAGATTCAGAATGTCAGACCGATACCCAAAGCTAAAAAAAAACTTTCTAGTATCATTTTGCCTCTAACATTTTAAAAGGAGTTCTTTTGTGTTTCCCATGGAGAGAGTTGTCTTTGGGCGCTTTGTTAACGTTTTATCACTATATTTAAACAAATAATTTTCAGTTTTGTTAGATCGAAACACATTGTTCCTATTATGGCGATCTTGGCATTAGACCTGAGCTTTTCCGTATTTACATTAGATATTAGTATATCTTTCATTGCCGAGGGCTACTTCAAACAGCCTTTTTTATTAAGCAACAGGAAACTTATTTTACCAGAAACTTTAAAAAAATGGGCATGTTGCGATTTTAGTAATTAAAAGGGCGTAAAACATTATAGATTTTGATTGCATTCTGCCTTCACTCTTCGCCGCCTTGGTAAAATGATACCGAACATATAATACAGTTTTTATTTGAAAACGGATTTTCACCAATTTTAAATTTAACGCTTATCTTACTCAAAAGTACTGTAACTAATCCTTTATTTTTGAAATAAACAAATTCCAAAATTGTTCGCGTTTTTATTTAATTTTCAACCCCAACCTTGGGGTTAGTCTTCAATTTGGCAGATACTACAAGATAAAAGGAACAAAAAATAATGCTTGGATATCAGCGCTCTACGTGTTGTTAGTTTGATAACAATAACTTGCCTACATATTTAGGAATTGGCTTTAAAGAGGAGAAGAAATTGTCGTTTCTATTATTTTTCCCGCCACTGCATATGCTATAGTCATCCGATCCGGCTCGATCCGACTTATATACTACCTGCAATGGAAAGACAACTTTTGGAAAAGTTTCTGAAGATAGCTTTAAAGCTGAGAGACTAGTTTGCGTAGAAACGGACGGACGGACGGACGGACGGACGGACGGACGGACAGACAGACGGAAGGACTGACGGACCGACAGACGGAAAGACGGACTCCTTCACGGCGTTGCAAACTTCTGACTGAAATAATAATACCCTCTGCAAGGGTATAAAAATTATACACCTATAGCTTGAACCTATTTCATGCGATGTTCAACATGCAATCAATATGTTATATTATTTCATTTATTTCGGAACCCTTATAAATTATTGTGTTATTTATTTCTGATCGTTGGAATCGTGGAAATTTGTCAATAAATTTTCAAACAGCTACCAATTTTTAGCAATAGATAGGAAGCCTTGGCTTCTTTGGATTCATTTTCTTAAAAATAGTCTGTCAACAACAAACCCATTAGCTCGGGTATAACCCAACAATATCTAAACGGTTTTAGAAGTAAATTGAGTCCGCGATTGGTGGAAGTCATCAACATGCGCCATGTGTAAAAGGTTGTGTACACAATTACTTTTAATAAATAAATTAAACAACAGTATAAAGTGGAAATTGAATCGAACATATAAGCGTAATACGAGCTCGA